GTCCAAGTGTTCCTCTTTTGTGCAACACAATCGAAATTTGAAATGCTCAATAAAATTATCATCCAAAAGTAATCACTTCCCATGTCGTGTAGTCTCCAGCTGTTTCAATCCGTCCATTTTGGTGGAATTTACAGTTCATTTGAGATCGTTAAGCGTAGAAAGCAATGATCTGCGTGGTGACCAAGGTGAGGTTTTAGGCCTGGATTTGGAGTCTCTGAAGATTTTGCTGAAGCGGGGAGTCTATATTGGGGCAATGCTTTATTGTCTTTTGGTTTTCGCGTGCAAGAGGGTGCTTGCGGTGGAGGGAGTGGTGAATGTAGGGTACGGAGCGATTCAGCAGTGGGTATTGTTGTTGAGGAATGCGTGGCCTAAGGTTTCTACGGTTCTTAAGATTTTCAAAGAGCAAGGTGTGATTTTGACTGCACTTTTAGGTCTATCTGCATTCTTCTCAATGGCAGAGACTTCTATAACTACACTTTGGCCATGGAAGGTTTGCTTTCTGGGTTTGAAGATTGATAGCTCTTATAATTAGTGAATAGCAATTGAAATCTGAGTTTTAGTATGGAAACATCAACAAAGTTGAAAAAGATAAATATATGAAGTTGAAGAACATTCACAGTTATTATTTGTTAGTGTTTCAGTAATTTTGTGTTATGGTTCAGATAATTACATGAAGTTTGTGCCTTGTCTGCCTCTTTTTGTGCTCGTATGTAACTCACTGTGAATTTGTAGTAAATTAGAGTAAAAGGCTTAAATTTGTTTCAGGATAAATCTCTTTAAGTTAGCTCCTGAGTTGTAGAGTTTGTTGTTACAAAGTTTTTTGCTTCCTTTGTAAACAATAAAGGAAGAATGAATAAGAATCATGTTGGGTAACTCTAATAGACTGTAGAATGATCAAAAGGTGGGTGGCAATGGTAAATGAGCTGGATCTTTTGTGACCATAGGGTCTTTGAGTTTGAGATTTGGTATTTTTGGTGGCTCTAGAACTTTCTATGACCTAGATACTCACATTTCAACTCTTGCACGCTGGTCATTCTTTATTTTGTTTGTTTTATTTTATTTTTTGATATTGTGGGTATCCAAACCTTTGGGCACCAATCATTCTTTATACAGTAGACTAATTTGCATACATTTCTCTCTTTATATTATTGGTAAAAGAGTTGATATTTTACTAGAAAATCAAAACAATGTCTTGTATATCGTACATGATAGGCTTAGCTTATTTCCTTCAAGGGGAGTTTTCCATTTTTACCATATTTTTTTTCCCTTTGTTTGTTTTTTCTTCAACTCACTTATGAAATTATTAATCTGAAGCTATCCTATAGAGCAACAACAAATGATCTTGGATCTTCTTATCCTTTTTATTTCCTTTTCTCCTAAATGAATTTGTTTCTAATCTATATGTATCTGTGCACACTGAAAGGCATAGCACCTTTGTTAAATGAAGAAGAAAAAAAATGAATTTCTTACTTTTTGTCATTGCAAAATTTTGAGTATTAGGTGATATGTTAAACCCAAGTATGCCTGGGTGATTATTGTAGATATTTTGCTTTCATGCAATGGCAAAGCTAGCCTTTTTTGAAAAAAAAAAAAAGAAAAGAAAAACGAACATAAAAGATAGAAAGAAATCATAATCATTGAATTTTTCCTAAATGATCCTAGGTTGCTATTTTGCTTCTTACTGAGATCACTCCAAAAAGTATAGCTGTTCACAATCCCACAGAGGTGGCTAGATTTGTGGTAAGTTTTCTATTTAAGTTTCCATTTTCTTCTTGAACTTGCAACTAAAACTTTGCTGAAAAACTTCAACTTTCTCTTCTGGAGTTTGGTGAACGTTGACATTTTAAAAGATGAGAGAAAACAAAGCAATAAAAAAACCTGGTGATGCAGCTGTTGTGCATTTGAACTTTAATTGTTACATTGAATGCTAAGTGTTCTCATTTTAGTGAAGAGATGATTAGGAAAGTCTATAAATAGTTTAAACTATGTCAGTTGAGAATTGTTGCATGTGTGAAGCAACATAGTTTTGGCTATTGGAATATGAGGGTAGATCTTCAACCACTAATGTTGAACTGAACATCAAGTTTGTTGTAGGACACTCTTAATATTTTAGAGTTGATGAAAGCTC